GTAATAAGCCACATTACTATAAAAGCTGCCTTTTACTATAGTCCCAACAACTACGTCAGGAAGTTAACACATGTAACATTCTGTACATATGGAAAAATCTAACTTCATGTTATATTTACCTCTTTGCAAATGAACTCGCATTTCACTGTGAATTTTAAAAAAAATACAAAATAAGTTTGAGCAACGAAACTCAGCAATGTTGTTTTCAACTCAAGTTGGCAAACCAGGAGAATGCTACTTTATCACTGACCTTTGGAGCAATTGATGGATTTCTTCAAACGTTAAACGTTGCCTACTTCTTTCTCTGCTAGTCCCAAGCAGCAGCAAGTCTCCAGGCACCCTGATCACACTCCTCACAACTTCCTTTGGGAAGTAATCAGATGATGGCCTTCCCCTGCCTGTGTCTGCAGGTAAATCACATTCTTGATCTCAATCTTTCAGGAGGAAAAGTAGAAACTATGTTGGTATCACTGAAAAGCTGTTTCCCAGGACTAAAACCAGATGACCTGTTCCAGTGGTCCAGCAATGCTGGAGGCTAATACATCTCTGGCTCCTCTACAAGGGGTTGAGGCTGGGAGGAGTCTGTGTCTTTTTGATATTTCATCCTTTAGATAATTTCTTTGATGCTACAATAATCTTCTCTCTCCAGTTATCAAGCAAGTGATCCCTAAGCACTTGCTACTACTAGTCTTTCCGTAAAGGTCACTGTACTCTACAAATGATTTGTGGCAGCCTCTGTTGCAGGAGAGAAGACAAACAAATACCCTCTAAAAGAAAGAAATGATCAAAACAACTGCATCATGGTTTGCTTTCATTTTGTTTTTCTAGTACTATGGCTGAAAAAACCTCTGAGCTTCTTGGCCTGTGAAATAGTATCTGCAAATCTTTAAACAATGAGCTTGTTCTTAATGGTTGGATTAATTCAAATTTAGATTAAGACTGCACTGCTTTCACACGAAGAAGCACAACCATGTGTCAGAGAAACAAATACAGGTTTTGTACTGCTCATTCTCAGACTCTTAAAAAGGAGAAAAAGGCCCCTTTAAATCATTTTATTCCTTATCCTGTCTGACCAGCACAATCTGGCACGAAAGAAATAGCTCTACTGATACAAAGGAATATATCCTTCTCTTTTAAGTGAAGGTAGAGTAGCTACTCACCTTCAAGACAAGCTAAGTTCATAGTATAGTATTTATTTAAGAAATTTTCCAGCACAATGAATTATTAACTCATTTCAGTTGTGTCTTTTTGGCTTAGGCTTGGGGAGAGACGTACAACTCCCACAACATCTCCAGATCTCAGCAACACTTTTCTTTTGATCAGTGCACTTTGGACCCACAGAAGGTAATTAATCTATTATCAGTCAAAAAATACTGCTGAAAAAACAGCACTTGTATTAACAACTCGATCAGATGCTTTTGAAATCATCTCCAATGAACAGCAGTTAACCCAAATACCCACCTGGGATGGTGAGGTCAGTTTGATGTTCATATATTCCTACTTACTGAGAACTTCCAATAGGAAGAGCTTGGTTATCACACACCATCTGCCTTGTCACATGTTTACATGGAGCTTTCAGGAAAGGTAGTGGGGAAAACCGGGGCCTTTATTACACTGCTGACAAGCAGCTTCACTTCCACGGGGAATGTTTGAGTATAATGCCTAATGTGTGTCTGCAACGGGGACTTAGATGAGAAACAACTGGCTGATCCTCCTCTTAGATGAGAACAAAGTGACAGGAGAGATCACATGGGCTGTGGGGCTGGGCAAATTCGTTCTTTGCAATCCTTCCTGGAGCCTGAACTTTCAAATGATCAAATAGCAGACCCATGGTTATGACTGCTTACCTGTCTGTTATTGACATGAAAACTGGAAATTCTCCCTTTATTTGTGAGCCAAGGCAGCCTAGTCAGGTAAGAGACAAACTATTGTCTTTTTGCTGAGCACAACTTAATGTCGAGCCTTCAATCTGTGCTGGTCACTACTTTTCAAAAGGATTTTAATGGTTCTGCTCCTAAGTGCAACACTCAACATACCCAGAACTGACTCAAGGTGAAACCTTTTCCATAGCTAATCAAGGCTTTTCTTCTCAACAAAACTCTTACTCAACTTTCCCTCCCTCTTAGATTTCAGATAAAAAAAACTTAAAGCTACCTTTTGCAACAGGATGCCGCCAGACTCAGCTACTTTGCTGAATTTGGGTGAACAAATGCAGGTGATTTTGTGGGTTGGCAGACATATCAATACGAAATCAGGCTGGCTGGTTTAGTTAAATGAGTAGTCAAACAGTATGCAAGTTTCTATTTCCAAACATAGGTCCCTGCCATACATTGAGGTAAGTAAAACCAGATCATCACACTCATCTCCACTGAAACTGTTTGAAGGCAGAGTGAACATTTTGAAATGATGACTGTGTTTTAAAAGACCTCTGAAAGATCACAGAACCCAGACATTCAAGAAAGTTTTCAAACCACAGGGATGATAAGCCAAAAACAAAGCAGCAGTGGCTAGACGAACCTCACTTGAAAGGCTTGATAACTTCTGTCTGACTGCTTTTTTCAGAGGAAGTTAGAAAAAAATATTCTGCCCTCAAAATCTAATAGTGAGATCCTAAAATTAAAAGGAGAAAGAAGAAAAAAAGAAGAAAGGGGGAAAAAGAAGGAGAAAAAAAAAGAAAGACAATGACAAAAGCACAGACATTTTGGCAGTATCCAGGAAAGTCTGACAAGTGGCAGTAGAAAGCACAGATCAAAGAACACATAAGTTCTTTTATTGTAGAAAATACCTAGAATTCCATGTTTATCTTACCACAATAAGCTACTGAATGGTTACCTAAGCCACCCTTGTTTTGCCAGGCAACTCAATACATCTGTAGGTTTTACTCCACATTAGTTTTAGTCTGCTGTGTTTAAAAGGCTACACAGGGAGTATATCTAATCTAAGAGGTTATACATCCACAAGTTTTTATGTCTCCTTAGGAAAAACAGCCTTCACAGAGACTGAGCACCTGAAACCAAAAATCTTTTTTGGTATCAATTCAGAATTATTTGCCCCAGTTTCTACAACTAGAATCACATAGCTGTGATCTATCACAAAAAGCCCAACTCCTTCTCTCTCTAGTAATACATCACTAATAAGTACTGTGAGAAATCCACCAAAGTACACTAAAAAAACCCTAACCCAACGTGAAAAGCACCTCACAACTGCTTGCTTCAGTACATATGAACTACTCTTTATTTTAATTATTATTTCCAAAGTTCTCCTCTTATAAACCATTAAAAGTTTCCCTAAATTCTAAGCTGGCTTTGCCTGCAGAACCCAGGCACAAAGAAATCTGTCTGGCGTATTAGAAGTGGAACTATTCTTGGCAAAATAACGTCTCTGAGACAGGTTTAAGTCATGCAGAAACAAGACTGAGCTTGTGAGTTCAGTTTCTTTAAAACAAAGGAATACCTGCTGTCACAGCATGAGGAAAAAAGATATCTCAAACCCAAAATATTGCAGCAGAAGCAATAGAAGGCATGGCAAAAAAAAAAGCAGCTCACTCATCTTCACTGTCCAACAGTGTTTGGAGCAGAAGTCTTCTAGAAGTTTTCTAGACCTTCAACTCAGAAGAGGCCCACAAAATAGCAGTTACTTCAGAGTTCTGGAAGACTTCCAGTAAATAGAACAAGCCTTACACATAGGTTTAATATGTGTAAGGTTTAACCTATATTTATAAGGATTATATAATTATAGAAAAAAGCACCTTGGTTTTTGGACAGCGTATGACCAATTTTGAAACCACAAGATGAAATCAAACTGTATTTTAACACAGTTCAAGGGAAGCCTTTCCTCTATAGACTGTCAGTCTCCCTCTCAAAAATGTCTGATAAGTACTGTAGTAACCACAAGGGTTTTGCACCTTTCAAAACCAACCTAGAAATATTTGTAGACAATAGGATAATGATAATGAACACTGAAGGACATTCCTTCTTATGGGGAGCAGTCTCTTGAAAAAAATTATCCAAAAGCTTCTACTAACCCATGCACAAGTTCCACAGAGGAAAGCCCTGGCTCTTCATAAGAGCTGTACCTGGCTTGCAGAAGAGTCACCAGAGGAGCAGCAAAGAGCAGAGAGGCTCTTTTTTCGTCTTCGTTGTGCCACAGGAGCACGAGTGGTTATCTCCTCAAAATCCATCCCCTCGGCATCAGACTGCCACCAGCATGGAGCGACAGAACCAGGAGCAGCACGAGTCCCTCTTCCTCCCGGTACAGATTTTCTATAAGTGTGCAAACGCAGCTGAGCCTCATCTGATGTGAAATTTCATTACACATCCGGGTGTATGAATGACTCACATATAAAAAAATACTGGTTTCTCATGGTTGCATGCTTGCATGCGGGTGGGGATTGAACAAATACACAATTGCAGATGGGCTAGAATTACCCTTTTGTGACAGGATTAATACCCAAGCCAAATGAGGTCATGATCTAGCAACGAAAAAAGAGGGTGAAACATGCACAGTAGAAAGACATATGCAAAAGTACGATCAAAGTAATACAAATAGTTAATGCTACAGTGAAACCTCTCGTGGAATTAAGCTAAAGCAATACCCAAGTATCATACACGACCTCCGCAATGATCCTGCACTACTGAAAGCTATTCATCGGCCTTGGGAAGAAACCTGACTCCTGCTTGCAGAAGGATCCCAGGCTCGGTATGGGATTAAGCCAGTTGTTCAGGACGGGATTAAAAAGCTGTGGCCATGAGCCCTGCCTTTGCGGCAGGGCCCTCAGCTGCTGGCTGTGAGGGAGCGCTGCGAGCGGCCTAGGCAGCAGCAGGTGCCTGCAGGGCTTGGCCAGGCGGGAAGGCCCTGCCGCAGCGTCCGGTGCAGAACACACTCGGTAAAAATAAAACAGAAGGGAAGTACACATGAGCCAGAAATTAAACGCTTGCGTCTGATTTCAGAGGAAGAGCACATCGGTCAGTCAACCTGCGAGGAGTCTGAGCCAGCTGTACTTAGGCCATCATTGACATCGACACCAGTGCCGATGGGGCCAAGAAAAGCGTTTTGGGATCTATGTCTCCTCGCTCCATCCCAGCCCACCCTTCCGCAATGTCCAGCAGGGAGAAGTTCTCCACCGATTTCCAGAAAGCTTTTGATGCTGTTTCTATCACACGTTTTCGTCTGAATTCTCCAGCGACAGACACCATGCCAACTGCCTGTGGTAAAACAGAGAGTCCCCAGGCTGCACAGTGCAGAAGCCCTTCTCAGCCCTGCTCGCCCACACAGGAGCATGTTGGGGCTGGATAAAGCACCATCCTGCCTGTACCTCCAGCCCTGGATTTAGGATTAGCCAAAAAGATGGCAGTTTGGATTAGCAACTGGAAACAAATAAAAGCAATAGTGATCTTCACTAAAAAGCAACCCATAAAACACTCCCAGCAGTTACTGGCATGGTACCTGTGATTCTGTGGTGATCCCAGCCTAAGAACAGAGGAATAGCGAGGTTTTCCCATATCCCTGGGTAGTAGATGACATCATACAGATTAGAGGATGTCCTGCTGGAAAGCAGCCCCATGGAGAAAGAGCTTGGAGTCCTAGTGGCCAGTAAGTTGTCCATGGGACAGCAATGTGCCCTTGTGGCCAAGAGGGCCAATGGGATCCTGGGGTGCATTAAGAAAAGTGTGTCTAGCAGGTCTAGGGAGATTCTTCTCCCCCTCTGCTCTGCCCTGGTGAGACCACACCTGGAATACTGTGTCCAGTTTTGGGCTCCCCAATTTGAGGGAGACAGGGACCTACTGGAGAGAGTCCAACAGGGAGCTACGAGGATGATCAAGGGACTTGAACATCTCTTCTATGAAGAGAGACTGAGAGACCTGGGGCTATTTAGCCTTGAAAGGAGACGTCTGAGAGGGGACCTTATTAACGTATAGAAATATCTGAGGGGTGGGTGTCAAGAGGAAGGCGACAATCTGTTCTCAGTGGTGCCCAGAAATAGAACAAGAAATAATAGGTTTAAGTTAGAACACAGAAAGTTCCACCTCAACATGAGGAGAAACTTCTTTACTGTGAGGGTGACAGAGCACTGGCACAGACTGGACGTGTTCCTGTGTGGCTGCCCTAGGGGATCCTGTACTGGCAGAGGGGGTTGGACTAAATGATCTTTCGAGGTCTCTTCCAACCTCTAACATTCTATGATTCTATGATTCTATGCTGTCTTTTTAATGCAAAGCTATTGAGCAATTTTAATATGAAATAGTTTTTAAAAAAAAAAAAGCATGATGTGCATAACAAAAAAGTGAAATCAGCACACATCTGTGAGGTTTTCAGTGGTTTGTTTGGGGTTTTTTAAAGACTTTTAGGGAAAAATATAATCTAGATCAAGAATTTACTGAAGCTGTCACCTCTCTGTAAAATAATAGGTAATAAAACAGTTTTTAAAGGTCTACAGGGAATTTTACAAATATCCTGGCTTTTCAGGTACACAAAATTGTTACATGCGTATTTTTAAACATTTTTTTACATTATGCTAAATAATATTTCTTCCTTACAAACGATATTCATGTTATTTAAATCAGCTAACCAATATTGTACAATTAATTTACTTAGCCAATAGGAAATAAATCATATTTCAACTTGCTTATTCTAATCCAAGTCAAATATTTGTTCCTTCTGTGAGTAATTTATCACTAATTACAACAATCTGATGTATTCTATTTTGTGTTACTAAACACAGGGCTATAACTGAATAAATGCAGCTAAAATTATGCTTTCAAAGCACAGTGGAAGAAAGCCCAAAAAGTTCATACATAGACATTGACAGCAGGTTTGTTTCCAGACTTTAGACATCCACATACCCACAAAATAGGTGCAAATTGGAAAAGTCTCTGCTTATTCATCTGGCAGTAAGTGTATCTGGAACTGAATATCATGTAAAATTTTAAATCAGACTCAACTTATTTAAAACTAAAAAAATGTTTTAACTCTTTGGTTTTTTCACTGTTTACTTCTTCCTCCTGCTGCCTTCCTCCTCCCTTGGAAGACAGACATCTCCCTCCAGACCGCAAAAATACTTAGCTTTGATTGAAATGGAATTACAATTAGTTTTTTCTCTTTTGAATGAAGTCAGGAGCACAGAGATACTCCACAAACATAAATGCAAGAAACGTAAACCCCTCAGAGACTGAAATATTCTTAAAACTTAGTTGAGCTCTGGAATTTACAGTCATGAGACTATAAAACATCAAGAATTTAGAAATCCAAAACAGAACTGGACATTCCTGCAGGTATCAAGAAGATCCAGTCTAACAACTAACAAGAACATAATTTTGGAAGATAAAATAAATCTCAGGAGGTAGGACTAAATAATCTGTAACTACTAAAGATCAGAAAGTGCATGGTGTACATGGCCAATTACCCAGCATCCACCTCCTGAGAGGTTGTTAGAACCTCCTTAGGAACTCAGGGGAGAAGCCATGGTGAAAAACTACTACTGCTTTTTCAGGACTTCAGATGTAACCTAAGAGAACAGCTTCTCTATTCCTTTTTTAAACAACGAATTTTGATTTTTAGCTGTGGGGGGTTAAGTGAAGTGCACCTATGGCAGTGTATTAATCAGTCAGTGAAAACCTTCCTTAAACAAATGACAACACTCAGTGTTTACTAAGGCAGAAATCTCCTGGTGAGTGAATGGAATCACTATAACCCACAACAGAAGAGACCACACAAAATGCAGTAGTATAAAAGTACTAATTAAAGACAAAACCAAAACCAAACCAAAAAAAGGACCCTTCAAAATGAACTCAACCAACCAAAAGTCTTGGCTTGAAGTGTCAAGATGTGAAACTTTATACCACTAGATTCTGAATTTAACGTACTGGCACAATTAACGTGACTGTGTGAATATTAAAAACACACATCTTGGTGGCTGCTGTCAGTCACAGGTGTTGGCTGCAATTTTAACAATAGTACTGTTTCTCTTGGTGTACTCAATTCATTTGAAGAGAAAGGAAATTGGAATACTTGTCCGTAAGTGATTTTCTTGTCTTATTTACTCTTGCTCTTTTATTTAAACCCAGAAAAGAGATTTAAATCCCAGGGATTATGGTTAAACCAAGCCAGTTAATGAGGTGGTTTTCAGTGCAACCTGCCTTTGCTAGAAAATCAACCGAAAACCGCTGTAATACAGAGGGAATGGTCCAGAGGTGCATTTACTTTGCTAATGACTGACATAAATATGTCCTCCCCTCCCAAGTGACAATGTCCAAAGAGCACAAAAATGTTCCCAAGACTATTCAACTGAAAAGAGAAAAACTCAAGTACATTCACCACAATTTCAGGGAAATTATCCTGAGACACAGTAAATATTCATAAATATTGAGGCATATCGCAGGCGACAGAAGGAATCCTTGACCAACAACCAGGAAAGCTACACTGTAACCCCAGCTCTGCCACCACTTTAATCTGTTCCTCTCACCCAAGACCACTACCTGTCTGTGACGCTCCTCACCTGCCAAACAAGCAATTCTTACACTTTCTGTAACACACCTCCAGAACTATAGGCAAGAGGAAACACCTGCTCAGACACAGCATGGCCAAAGATGTCTGTAGACCAGAGCTTCACCTTCACATCTGTCACAAACATTTTGTTCTTTCATGAGTGAATAAGGGGTTTGAAGTGAACTCTGGGGTCACTGAGAAGGCTCATAAAGAATGATGCTTTGAACACACCTCCCATGCTGTTCAGCCCTGAGCTAGGCATGAAGAACAGCAACCTGAGGTGCCTTGGTTTAAAAGTAGAGTTAGAAGAGGAAGAAGCAGCAAAGCAGCCTTCATACACCAATCTACTTTTGCAGAACATGTAAAGAAGGAGGACAAGATTCAGCTTTCTGGTTGCTTAAGCCTAATGAAGGTTCTACCGCCTCACCTCCATCTCTAGGCAGAGAACCTTGATAACCAGTAACATGAGGCCAGGGCTCTCTCATCACTGACTCCTCAAATTTTGCTGCCAATTAAAAAGGAAAGCAAGTTCTTCATGCTGCTAAGGACAGCATGAAGAGAAGATCTCAGTTCTGCAGTCCTGTGATGAGGTTCATTCAGCAGCAACCCTGAGGGGTGTAACTACAAGGCTAAGGAGACCAAACTCTGTAACATGTCACTGTCCAGTGTCTTGACTTTGAATGGGAAAATGTAGGGTTTGCCTATCCCAAACACCTCCAAGTGTCTGCAGAGGAAGGAGGGCATCAGGCACAGGTTCAGAGGAGACATGAGTTGCATCTACCACAGAGGTGGTCACTGCTGAGTCACTTTGTAGGACACAGGTTGTCCTCTCCACCATCAGTGAAGGAGCTAGTCCTGCACTGAACTCATCCAACAAACAAGGTACTACAGACTGCTTCAATGCAGCTTTTGGTAGTCATCTACATAGGCAACCCAGAAAGCACCAAAACTAAACTGAGTATGTGCAATAACACATCTATAAAAGTGCCTCAAGATACTTTTGTCCAGAAAAGCTAAGTTTCTGAAACCCAAGGAACCTCAGGTATCTACAATAACTGGAGGAGGTTTCCATGGGCAACTCTTTTGAATGCAGTCGCCTGAACCATGCTTTAAGGGATACCAAAGTCTTAGATATTTTATTGTATCTAGCCGTAAGTACGAAAACAAGATTACTGTGGGTATTTATTCAGTGACCTGATTACAAAGGATTCTAAAACCACATTTCTTTGTCATAAAATTAGATTAGAAAAATACACATACAGAAGTCACATGAACAATGGTAAGCATGTAACAACTACCTGGGACTTCTGAGTTACAAACAATACATTCTATTTAAAATGCAGAGGCGTTGCCACAGAAGAAAAGTTACTAATCCTGTTGGGGCAAAGTAGCTGCACTGGTGTGTGGTTTGCACGGGGGGAGGGAAGGAAAAAGAAAAGGAATTGCTTTATTAGCCTTTTTGCACCTCTGTTTTGTTTGCTTTTTCAAAAGAACAGCTTTTTCTTCATTTATATCAGTGAAAAGTAATAAAAACCCCTTAGGTTTATCGAAGCAAGTATTAGCATAGTAGTTAAACACTGCTTACTTCCAGATATACCTCAGGGCTAGTAGTTTAATACATACCTTAATATGCTGCCTTACTTTTTTAAGTGAGAGTACAATTGAAAGACTTTCCACTGAGGCATTCTGCTAGGAACATTCTTCTTCCTCGAAATTTTCA